ATCGTACTTCATACATTATACAATGAGGGAATGCATAAAAGTAACCTTCGGAGGCCCCCACCCTACTCTTGAGAACCCCAAAAGTCGCGGGCTTCCCCACTATGCCCGTACCCTCCAGCATTAACTCTTACTTTCTGGAATTTTGCTCACCCGACCCAACACCAATATTCATCCCAAATGACTCTCCACTGATCTAATCGAGCAGATACCGAAATCTAACATAAATAAGTATTCGTAGACGTTATCGCACAGTAACTTTAGCCAATGTCTAGCAACAAGGAATTCCGTGACCGATAGCAACGCATAATACTGTAAAGAGAGTTGAATCGCTCGCAATCATTTCAAAGTGAAAGTGAATAAAAATCTAACGTGTACTTCCGACAGAGACCTCAACTCGATAAGAAATTCTCAACAAAAACAATTTGAACTAACCAGTTCGAGATCGAATGAACATATCAAAGAGATATATGCTATCGGCAACCACATCAAGAATCGCCCATAAAATCCACAGAAGACCAGCAGCTAAATCTTTAAAAACACTCCGAGCTGAAATTATGATCGAACTTATTGACTGTGAGCAAAGATTCCAGTGAAACGACGTTTCATTAGCACTGCATAAAGGCATTGTGGTATTTGAATATTAAATGAAGTTTGGTGAAGATTCCAGTATTATTCGCTAATGAGTATCATCAGTCATTAACATAAAGGAGGTATTTTACGTAAGCGAACGAAGAAGTTGCGAATGTATTAATTGAAAAAGTTGATTGTGAGTTTAAATTATGACCAATAGACAAGTGCACTCACCAATTACAACGATAAGATTATACGTGAAGGCACATGAGACAACACCCAACCAATAGTAATAAAATTCATCCTTTGTATCGACCACATGTTTTTTAAGTAAATACTCAAATCGGTTTCCATTCGATTCAGTTTCACCGTGTGCTTCAGCATCAGCACGTGATGTGTGTTTGCTGTTATTAAGACCGAATCTGTTCATGAAAACTGAAGCTTCCGCGTTTTCCGGACTCACTTTGTTCTTACGGAAGAGTTTGAAAGCCTGAAAAAGTTCTATTTCAGGAGGCCTTTTACGACAACAATACTATATTTGCTTGCTGAACAGCATCATCTCCTTGCCTATCAGTACCGGAAAATAATTCATTCGAGTGGAAGCGTTACTTTCTGAAATCTCCCGACAAAAGCAATCAGTACCAAACAGTGAATCGATTAATTATTGAATTATTTTATGGATAAAATGAATTATACAAAAATGAATTAAACTACTTTCGTGACAATGTTAATTTTGCTCTGATTCGCATTTTGACTCTGATTCGGAGCTGACGTACTCGGTCCAGGGTCGTTGCAATTTGCACCTGTACCAATTCTTCCGTTTGCGTCACTTTTCCTCTTCTCGTCAGACACTTTCGATGTTTCTTCAGAATTGTTCTAAACAATCGCAGGTTTGTGCTCGGATAGTTTTCTTATCATTCAAGCAATCGAAATTAACACCAACAAACGGACACTTAAATTCCATTCACAATGGCTGCAAACAATAACAACAATCAATCATGAATTTCTTCAGATCTCTATCGCCGAGCAATATTGTGTTCTGCTGTCGTACATTCCGTTCTAAATGCAAAAACATCGCAAATGATATTACTTCAGGTAATCTCTCTTTATACAGTTCGTTCAGTCTCCTAAAAAATAAACTTCTTCTCAATGACTGTTAAATGTTCGTGTGGAATTTTCAGCTGTTTGCCTTTGCTATGACAACTCGCCATTTGTAAAATCATTAATACGACCACTAACAACGGAAATTTGACTCATCCTTTCGCTAATCACTTATTGAAATTGCAATGCATTAAAATTTAATTCGATACAAATTTGATCATTGCATTGCCTCTGAGAAATTTTCGTTGCTTTCAAACACATCCTCGATTCATTGCTTGATTGCATACGTTGTTGGCGTGCGAGATTGTCAGACGCAACCTTCAGAACATGTTGGGAATATTTATCTCGTCGCTCTCATTAGAACACCTCGACATATCGAAGTTGGTGATTTTGATGTCTTCAATCAAAGTCAAGTTTTGACCAATGCAGTGATCAAGAGCAATCACCGTGTCTAGTTTATCTTTATCACAAGGGATGGACAGTTTCCTTCAGCAGTCTCCTTCAAGGAACCATGTTTGGATTCATACACAACACATTCCCCATGAAAATAAAAGATGATATCTATTATTATAATAATTATGCATGTCAAAATGAAATTAGGCAAAATGACATTAGGCAAACTGTCCGTTAAGCAAAATGTTCGTTTATCGGGGATAGTGTACTGAAACTGTGAATAAATTAGACTGCACATGGTTCTGTCGAGAAAGCAGTGATCTGTTTTCATCACGGTTATGGGTAATCCGTAGAGTTCGTTTTAATACACTGCACCGTCCACTCAGTTTTACAAAAGTTTATATCATTTCACAAAGAATGGATTTTAAGTCCTTTAGTCCGCTGATTACAATCCATCAAGTTGTTCTCCCACCCGTTCATTACCCGTTGAGCTGCTCTTCCACCTATTTGTTACCCAGTTGCTTGTTCTCGCACTTTCGGATCTCTTTAATCCGTTCTCCTACCTGTTCAGAATCCGTTAGACCATTTTCCGGCCGATTCAGGACCCGCTGACCCATTCTGACGCCTGCTCATAACCCGCTAACTCATTCTCTTACCAGCACGTTACCCATTATCCCGTCTCCCTATCTTTTGCTAGTTCATTGACGTATTTTCCCACATTTGACAATCCGCTAATCCAAGTACAACCATTAACTGTTATCAACAGGTATAACAACGTCAATTCAAACAAATCACGATTTTCTTTCATTCATCATTGCTACCTTGACTTTGCAATGTGAGTGCCAAACTGTTCATATGAAATCGTGGTCTATCGTTCATATTATCAATTCGACTTCTTTACTAATCATTCACTTCTTAAACTCATTATGTGTGGAGGAAACCTGAGACAGAAACGAAGCGTATAAACAAGATTACAGTCAAATTTTGAATTTAATATTAAGCAAATAGATAATGAACTTTTATTCACGATGTGCATTAGCAATGGGAACTCACATCATCTGTTGTCCTAATTTACGTTTATTATTATTATTTTGTAGAGCATAATACCTCTCTGATTAGTCGTTTGTAAGTGAGCGATTGATGACCCCAAATATCATTTTGTAATATTTCATTCGGGTATAGAAAAGAAATACATACTCTCATTCCTGATTAAACGAAGAAAAATTCGTCTGATGATCAGGAAATGAATTCAACGTAAATAAAAACCAATGGTTCTTTTTGATAACGGAGACAAGCGAATGAGAGAGTGGAGAGCTTGAGCAAAAACAGACATAAGACTAATAAGGCCTCATTTGAGTGAACTTTTAATAACTCAAACCTTGATTTGATCGACC